AAAAAAAAAAAAAAAAAAAAGCAAAAGCAAGCGTGTAAGTCTTCGCAGAGACCTCCTGTCTGTGCTCATTAGCAAGGCAGGGCCACATTCTGAAGATGGATTTCCAGGTACAGTAGGCTTAGAAGTACCACGGCCATCTCCTAAGAGAACTTTCTCCACCTGCATGGCCAAAGTCATTTTTAACTCCAAACAAGAACCCTAGGAATTAAGGGAGGCCACTAGAATGGCAGTTCTACAAATACTAAGCATTTCATACAGATTGTTCAGCTATGAAGCTTGTTTCAACAACCTCAAAGAAAAGGATTTGGGACCAATCCAAGAAAGCCGCCCATAATAAAATATGCACTTATAAAAATTCCCTTATCATTTTAAGGCACAGTCTGTTTTATTCCAAATGACTAAATTCAAGGTCACAGTGAGAATATATATTTCATTTTGGTCTGGTTTCTCACAGGTACATTGCTACGTGTCATAAGGTTAAGAAATTGTTATAGTCATTTCAAATAACAAATTGTAATAGTCATTTCAAAATAACATATTTATGTCATTTTGCCATTAAAAATGTAAACACATACTGTATTTTCCTAACTTATATGCACTAAAAATTGGAGCTTCCCATTATCCCACAGTACAGGAGGGCAGGGTTAATTCTACAAAGAGTTTAACAAATACATATTTGACTATGTCAGAAGTATGATTATGTTAAAATATAGGCATCTCCCACTTTGGATATAATCATTCACACAGAGGACAAACTCATTCCAAAAGATAGTATACACTGAATTCATTCTTACACGTCTTTTTACCAATATCATCCACAGTCCACATTAGATAATTACACTGTAACTAAATTAAAGCCAAACGTTTCAGCACTTGGCCCTGCGACCTCTTTTTCCCTAAGACTACTTTTGCAAATGCTATTAATGTCACTGTGCAGACAGACAGCAGGTAGGTGACAATAAGGGATGAACCAAGCGTTGAATGGAAGACCGAGGCTGTGAACTTTCCATGGGGAGAAACGGAAGGGCCTTGAGCCAGTGGACAGCAGCGTGCAACCTGCCGCGCCCCCTTTTCTCTCGCTCGCAGGGCGCAGTGCTGACCTCCACCTCAGCACTGATTCATGCTTGTTGGATAACATTCTCACACAACACGCGAACGTGCACATGCTCCCGCCACGGCCCGCGCGGGTTCGGGTGGGCAGTGCCCTCTGCCCAGCCGTGGCCACACATCGCACTGCTCCAGCGAGCGCCACCTCAGTGAGACTCCTGGACCGAGCAGGGGCTGCACAGCAGACAACAGTTCACGTCACAGAGCAAGTCGGACCAGCACTACTGCAAGTGAGTGCTTTGCTTGGTTGCTTCTCTTTTTTGGGACAGGGTCTCACTATGCAGTTCAGGCTGGCCTTGAACTCACTTTGTGGCCCATGCTGGTCTTGAACTTACAAGGATCCTCCTGCCTCAGCCTCCCGACTGCTGGGACAGACGTGTGCCACCATGCCCAGCTGCCTAAGTACTAAAAGGTCATTAGCATGGGTGCTGACTTTTACCCAACAAAATCTGAAGATATCCAAGAAATCAGCAAAATGGAACAAACTATTCTACAACTTTGAATATTTTTAAAGAAAAAATTAGAGTATGGAATATAATCTTTATGATATATAAATTATAAGTCATAGACAAAAATACGGAAAAGATTCTTTTTGCTTTAATCTCAATGTACTAAGAAAAGTTCACTGGCACCATGTGCAGAGGCATTTACAGCCTCGCTTAGCTGGTGGCTGAGTATGTTCTGCCGACTGCATGAACAGTCACGCGGCTTCCACCGCAGCTTGACGCTAAAAGGAACTCGAATCTGTCAGTGTTCTTCCTTAAAAAAAGGATGAAAAAGATCAGCATGAAACAAAACAAGTGCAACATGAAATATAAGACAGGCCTGTCTTCTGAATGGTTACTAGCTGTGTGCTTGGCGTAGAAACTCTCTTACTGGTAACTTTCCTATATAAATACTAAAAATAACATTAAAATAGTCTTATGAATGTTACAAAAATGTCTATTAGGCTTCTCAAACTAAGATTAGAATTAAAATATGCACATTTACACAACTCATCAAAGGACACCGATAGTTTTTCACAAGAACTACAATGTACAGAATAATTATAGGTTGACTCTGACTAGCACATATCACGTCCTATACAAAGCTATCAGAAATTCAATGTTATGATATTCAAAAATAGGTGTTTTTGGCAGCAAAACCATGGCAAAAAACTTCAGAAGTACCATATGTGATTTAAAAACTATTCGTCAGAGACAGCTTGATCAAGATGTAGCTAAGGACACCCCTAACTTCTGAAGGACACTTCGGGCGCACCGTTCCCTTTACACTGCTGCTGGTCTGCTCTACTCCAAATGCTGCTCTGGTCTCAGAACACAGCCCTCGCATAAGACGTAGTGTCCCCGCTCACAAGGCGGCCGAGCTCTACAATGTGAGTTCTTGAGCATTCGCAATACGCACGCTTAGATTTGGGTTTTCTTTCTCCTCCTTGACAAGTAGACTAAGGGTGGCCTCCGGGCTTTATTTCCTTGGCTACTAAACTAACACTGCGGAAGAATGCAGAGTAGTATGTGTCAATAAGAGCTGACTTCAGAATCTGGAACAGTCTTTGTTCAAAAGCCCCGATAAGCCGGGCGTGGCTGCCCCTGCCTGGTGTCCAGCACTTGCGAGGATCGCGTTCAAGGCTAGTCTGCTGCACAGTGAGACTGTCTCAAAAACCAAAAATCAGACCAAAACAAAAAACAAAATAAAACCGAATCCCTGGGATAAAAGTCAGTCAGAATCATCCTAGAATTCTGTGGAAGTTCCTTCTAAATTGGCGTTTGCTTGGTAAGGAAGCCCCTCGGCAAGGTCTCGTTTCCTCCTGTGGAGATCCTTCCACTGCCGCCGTTATTCTGCTTAGTTCCACGTTCTCCAAGCTGATTTTCCTCATAATGAACTTCCCAGAGCACCCTCTCTCCTGTGATCACCAGGTATATGAACTCCACACGCTGGGAACACCAAGAGCAGGATGTAAAGTAACCAGCAGACCCTTTGTCATGAAAGTCCCAACACAGAGCCAAAAAGTCCCCAGATGATTATAATAACCAGCTCCTAACACTCCCAGCGCAGCATGGCCAAGTCCTGCACTAACCCAAGGAACAGTGTAAGGGGACACCACGCTAGCCCGGACCTAAGGCCCAGCTGGGCATGGAGGCCGGGCGACGCGACTGTCTGCGGGTGTCCTAGCTGCAGATGTGCTCTGTCACTGTGCACAGAATATTTGGTAAGAGCCCATTTCATGGTGCTTAAACAAAATATTTTGTGGTACAAATATGACTGGAGCACTTGGTGGCAAGTACTCACACAAAATCATGTAGTAGTGGGAATTAGCACGCCAGCCCTGCGGCTGCCAAGGCAGCTCCGCTCCTGCGTGAGAAATGCCTGCGCAGTACCGGCTGAGCGAGGAGACCTTCAGGCTCACAAGCATAACGACCAGCACTGCCAGCGGAAGAGCAAATTAGCTCATGTTCTCAAATTCTTCCCAAGTTTTCCTGAAGATAAACCCAAGCTCAACTTCAGAAAGAATTAAATGACATCTTTAACCCACACTTAAGACATATCTAGAATGAATGGCAAAACAAAAGATCCCATGTGCAGAGAAGCTGTTCCAAATCAGGGCCAGGACACAAGTGGAGGATCTCACGCCTTTCCTCTCAGCTTCCTCTTGCTCCTTGTCTCTGATCGACATGCATGGTGAGTCTGTCACTTCTAGTCGGCTGTCCCTCTTTTCAGTGTCTCAGGGAGCAACAACATGTGTTCTGAACACCGAGCTCGGAGCTGGGATGGAACAGCAGAGCGTATGCCCCGCAGAGGGGCTAGCAAGACTGGACAAAGGCCAAAGCTGCAGGGCCTCCGGGCTCATGGTGAGGGGCCGAGGTACACTGCCACACGCAGGGGATGGGAGGAACCTCAGGGGGCAACTGCTGAGAGACTCGGGACCGGAGGACTGAGCCTCTGGGACAGTGGTGGTGAGCTCTGATTCACAGGGAGCTCTGAACGTTCACATCACTGCTCCAGGACACCCCTGGTCCTGGTACCACAAGGACAGCAGCGCCCGGGGCTGGCTCCCAGGAGGGAACTCAGGACGTTCCACGAGGTGCTGAGAGCACACGCGCAGAGCACTCCCGAGCCGTACTCCTCAGCAGCACTGCCACTCCTCTGCCCTGCTCCTTCCCCTGCGCGCTGTGCTCTGGCCAAGTGGGAGCTGGGCTCTGAGACGCCATGGGCTTGTCAGCCCTCATCTACCCAACAGGAACCCTGGCAGTTACCTGGTACACAGAGGCTGCGCTGTTAGACCTGTGGCCAACCTCCAATTCCTACAGGCATGCTGTTTACATTAGTGCTACACTTCCTGCTACCCCAAGAGTATAAATCTATACATGGAATGTGGTGCTACACTTGGTCATACTTTCTTCACAACTGACAGAAAAGATACAAACCTAGAGTTTTGCCAGTTACTAAAGTTTAGGTATCACTCTAGCCTGAAGAACTTTCGGCAGCATGTGGACAATGAACTAAGTGACCAAAATGAACTATTTTAACGCCAATGACATGTGTGAGAATACTCTTTAAATTTAATTTATTTATTTATTTATTTTTTATTTTATTTTTTTTTTTGTGGAACCAGGGATTGAACTCAGGCCCTTGCACTTGCCAGGCAAGTGCTTATTCTACTGAGCCATCTCCCGGCCCTTATTCTTTAAATTTAACAGACATGATTTATATTTGAGAACAAGGAAACTTCCTGATTTTGATTTTGAACCACATTCCTACCCACCACCTCCCTGTCACACAAATCTCTCTTTCCCATACCAGAGGACGGAAGCTCGCTTGCTCACCATGACTGCCGAAAGAGACTGTGGCTATTTCACCTTTGAGAAACCAGCCAGGAATTTCATCAGTCTTTGAAAACTTATTTTACAATATGTAAACTACAGCAAATAGAAAACAAGCCACTTTTCAGAAGACCACCAAACAGCAGAATGTGGACGGGAGGCTGCCAGCAACGATGTCTGCTCCCACACAGCTGGGTCGCCGGGGCGGGAGTGCCGGGGCTGTGCGCACGTGTCCCTGGCACAGGGCTGCCGCACCCATCCCAGGTCCCGCAGCACGCGCCGTGGGTCACCTCCTTCTTCAGGCATTACAAAACTAATTTCCTATTCTTAGTACTGTAAAAATAGACTTGTCTTCTCCAAAGGACGAGGCTGTCCCTGCGAGTGGGTCGCGCTCACCGCTCCCTCGGCATCGGTTGCCGTGGTTACCCTTCTCCGCTCACATCCAGTTGCACAAGGCGTGGAGCAGAAGAGGCAGGCAGGCAAAGCCTGGGACCCTGTACAGGTGTGCTGACCCAAAGGCGACCGTGCCGACGGCCAGGGGGAGGGCGAGCTGCGAGGCCGTCTTCAGGAGCTGGCTGCGGAGAGAACACAGCGTGCCATTAGGGTGCTGAAGCGGAACGCGCCAGCTGCGCGCACTGCCGGGAACTACGAACTACGCCTGCTCGACGCGATGTTAAAGGAAATCCGTGTTACGTAATGAATTCACCTGCTCTGATTTTTTTTTTTTGGGGGGGGCACCAGGGATGAAACTGGGGACCTTGTACTTGCTATGCAGGCACTTATACCACTGAGTTATTTCCCCGGCCCTGTTCTGAATATTTTAGAAGATTAATAAACTATGCTTTGAGTAAAAAATAAAAAACAAAAAACCAGAAAAGCATTTCTACTTGGTAAATAGCTAATTTTGTTTATTCTTTAAAGCTTTAACAATGGAAAAATACCAGTTAATTTTTTAATTCTACATCTAGAAATTTATCCTAACAAACTAATCATGTTCACTTAATTTTAGAAATCTTCATTTTAATCCTATTTATAATAGCAACAACACAAGCAAATATAAAATCCCAACAAAAGGAGCAGATAAGTCAATATTTTAAAAGAAAACGAACTCTCAGGAAGGGCTCCCATCTCTGCCTGGAACAGGGAGCCTGCGGCTAAGAGCACTGCGAGGCCGCCCTAGGGCCAGCTATCCCGTACTGAAGACCGAAACCCTGGGTCCGCTTCATGGCGGCCTACCGGTCAGCATCTCCTAGAGCCAAGGGGAGGGCTCCTGGGCCAACACTGGAGAAAAGTCAAGTCTTACAAGAGAATCCTGGGCGCAGGTAACAGCATCAGGAGCCCTCGTGCACCTAGGACTCGGCTTCCACAACTCACAACTCACACTCTGGCCGCTTTTGCTTCACCTTTAGCTCCGTCTACTTCTACCCCTGCAGGTTTTACTTCTTAATTATAGTTCAGGCCAGTTCAAACTCACTATAAGGCCCAGGCTGGCCTTGAATTCATGGCAGTCCTCCTGACTCAGCCTCCTAAATGCTGGGATTAAAAGCCCGGCCACCATGCCTGGCCTCTTGGAGTTTTTATAAGTAAATCTTATGCAGCATACCTTTTATTGTTTTTATTTATTTATTTTTTTCATACTAGGAACTGAACTCAGGACCCCATGTCTGCCAGGCAGGTGCTGTGCCACTGAGCTAAATCCCCAGCCCCATCATTGCTTTCAAGGAAAAGAACCCAGATTACTACATCCTAAATAAGTAAAACCTGTAGTGAAGAAAACAAGTGTAACTGCATATACACTGTATCACCACACTTAGCTGAAAGAGTTAGGTCTTACTTTCAGGAATACTCAAATTAACTACAAATTAAGACTCACTCCAGAAATAAAACACAGGCTGATGCAGGAACAGAAAGGTTAAATGATTATACCTTGATTTTACTGAAACCGTGTAAGTATTTCCAAGAACTGCCATGGTGGGAATAAGGATAAACGCCAGAGGTTTACATGGATCAGGATTAAGTTTAAAATGATACCTATCATAAAAGAAGAAACAAAACATAAATCAACAAAGCAAAATTGATCATTCTGGATCAGCTGGGTGTCTATAGTTCTCGAACACCCCAAGTTTCTTCTCCAACAATCTGGCTGTCAATCTGGGAACAACAGCCTGGATCTTGACTAAAAAGAGGGAAGGATAGCAATGTCTGGTAAACTTTTATTTAATTTGTTAAACTTATTTTACTTTTTCTGACTTAAAATGCTTTCAATATTTAGATAATCTAAAACCTTTGTATCCTTTCTTAATGCTCAGGGATTTGACTACTACTTGGAAAGGTGGTCTTTATTTAGCCATGTACCAAAAATAAAACACGCATCACTCCTTTGGACCAACTTTGGGGGAAGCTCATAGCCCCAAGTTTACACTCCTGAGGTACAGGAGGATGGAAAGCACTGGGGATGCGCCCAGGCAACGTGGAGCCCTGCTCCTGGGCGGTCGGCACAGGCATCAAGAAGCCACGACTCTGCACTCTCAGGTCCTGTGTGGCCATGCAGGTATCCCTCACACACACCAGAGGCTCTTCAGCCAGAAGACTAGAGACGGCATGCTGAGCAGGACGGTCCAGGTCAGCAGGCTGAGCACGGCACTGTGCATGCGCAGGCTGTCCTCCGCCTCAGCCGCGCACAGGCAGAGGGCCGGCGCTGCGGAGTCTTTATGCTGGTGGGACTTCTTCTCACTTCTTCGAGAGTGCTTGGGATTCTATAAAACAGTAAAGTCAAGCCATCCAATATTAAGGCCACACAGTAAGCGTAAGGTATTCTTTTACTTAGAGCCATCCTCAATGATTTCTCAGCTAAAGAGGTGCGTCTTGCCATTGCCACACTGAGGCCCAACACGGAAATGGCCTTGTCTGCACCGTTCAGGGTGGTCAGTCACAAAGCTTTATCTTTTCACTGCTCGGAAACATCCCTGAGGTAAATGCTCAAAGTATGAGTTAAATGATAATAATTTGTAACAATAACAAAAAGACAGGTATGGAGAGACTCCTTTAAATTCAGAATGATTTAGGTCTATTTAAATAGGCTTAGGGGCCTGTGAATAGCTCAGCGGATTACAGCACCTGCAAGCAGGTGCAGGGCCTGGGGGTTCAATCCCCAGGGGCGCTGAGATGGCAACTGAGACTGGGTGTGGTGGCGCGGGCCTATAATCCAGCTCTGGGAGGCTGTAAACAGGCGGATCACTATGAGTCTGATCTAGTAGTGAGACCCTGAACACCCTGTAGACCCTTCTCTAAAATACAAAAATAAATAGGCTTGAAGTTACTTAAGTTCATAATACCTTTTAAACACTAAAAATCTTAACCTTTCTAGAAAATCAACTCTCATATTTTCTCACATTAAAGTTATACTGAGTTTTGAAAATAAAACTTACCACAGCTTGGCTACTTTTAAAATTTGTGAGGCTTGCTTGAAGATGAACAATCTAAGAAAAAGAAATGACTTCAATTTTGCTTGTATTTTTAAACAAAATGTACAGGCTTTTTCATTAAAACTGAGAAAAATATATCTGAGATCTAAAATCTAAGCAGCTAAAATTAATTTTAAAACATTCTTTTTGGACAGATAAAGTAACACATGTTTACTACATGCATTAAAAAAATCAAAATGCTTGGGGCTGGAGAGATAGCTCACTAGAATAAGTGCCTGCCTGGCAAGTGCAGGGTCCCGAGTTCAATCCCCAGTACCCCCCCGCCCCACCCCCCAAAAAAAGCTAAAGACACAGACAACACAACTCTTCTCGGTACACAGGGAGCACGAAAACTGCCCTCCTCTCACACACTGCTGTAAGCCTGTGCTCCACACCTTGCTACAGCAATCTGATTACACTTAATACTGTAAAAGTAAACAAAATCATTTATAGTGGTGAAACATTTACAAGAGCTTGAGACAATATGTAAATTTAACTCAGTAAGTTCTTTAAGTATCTGAGAAAGGGTCAATACATGACTTGTTTATTTGATCAGTTATATGACTATCCAACAAAAACTAAAAATATTGCCTTTATAAGTTGAAGTCGCTCTGAACAGTTTTTTTAGATACAAATAAATTCCCCTTAGAAAACTGAAAATAATGTCTCTGTGCATGTATTGCTATCAAAAGCAGGGTCAAGTGTGCCCTTGTTTATTTTATTATTCTTATTATTTTAATCCTTTATTTTGGCATAGGGTCTTGCTACACAGCTTGGACTTGTAGCAACCCTCCTGTCCCAGCTTCCCCAGGGCTGGGATTACAGGCATACACCACCATGCCTGGTTTCAGTGGCTGACACCATGCACCTGGGGTTCCGGGGCTAGCACAGCATGCGGTACAGGGGATCAATCCCGGGTTCTTGCACTTGCTGGGCAGGTGCTTAGACCACCAAGCTATCTCCCTGGTCCCCCTTGTTTAGAAAGAAAACATAAATATCCACTGATGTCAACCATCTGCTCACAGATTTCTGCACGGCACTATGGCTACGTAACTGCTTAGGTTTCCCTGCAAAGCGGCCAGCCTCACTCAAGGTGTCTTTTACTGCAATAAAATTAACAGCCTAAAAATCCTGATGATTGTGTTCTGATTCCTCCCAACATTTATTAATGTTTCATATTGTCTGAATATGACTGCTAACTTGATGCCAATGTAGTTTCTTGTTTTCACTCACCCATGTTCAGAGAGGTAGGAATGAAACTATTCTACTGCATGTTAAAAACACTAATATTTGCAAGAATAAAATGCAATATAAAGCAGATTATAAATGCCTCTTTTTCAAAAAAAAAAACCCAATTCAAATCATTAATTTTAATTCTATGTTAATAGCAAATAACTTAAATAAATGAGATGTTTTGTAAAAACCTTGTGTGAAACCTGCTACCTAACGAAGCAGGACTCCAGCAGTGCTGAAGCACCCTGTTCACAGCGCCTCGGAGCGCTGGCCATCCTCTTCCGATGTCGCCCGTACCTTGCACAGGTAGCAGAAATAGGACAGCAGGATGGCAAGGGCGCCACAGGTAGTCCAGCTAACGAGGAGCGGGGCGCCTATCAGGAAGAGCACATCTGGTGACAGGACCTCGACATCTTTCGGAAGTTCAGAGGGTCTGGATAAAAAGAGTACAGTTTTAGAACAATGCTGTCACTAGGTGCATTTCCTGAGCCCATGTACGACAACGACGACACACGCAGGCTGAGCATCTCTAAGCCAAAGCCCAAGGCTGAAAATGTTCCCGAACTCACGACTCAAGTACCAGCGAAAGGCCCCAAGTGGAAGGCTGTGCCCCGACCTCATCTGTGGGTCGCAATCACGGTGCAATGCACAAACGGCAGTGAAAGACACTGCTCAGATGTGTGAAGGAGACACAGGGACACAAGTGAACTCTGTGCTTGGAACTGGCCTCCATCCAACCTACATATTGTAATAGGCTTTCATATATACGTATGTGTATGTTTCAATTTCTAAAAACACTTCAAGTCTCAAAAGCACACAAGGGCCCAAGCTTTTCGCTAAGAGCTACTGCCTTGGAAGTCTTCTGCCAGTCTCGCTGGCTTCCCCCTATGTGAAGCCCTATGGTAAACGGTAAGGTACACGTCAGTAGCGGCAAGCAGTCACGCATACCTGGTTTTAAGGACGACAATGCGCTATAAGAGCTCCTCTTACGTTTACACCATGGCTGATACGGGCAGTAAGGAAAAACCCTGCTGCCAAAGCTCACCACTAGCCTTAGACCCGTGCCATACATTTCCAGTCTTGACAGGAAGAAGAATTTTCCCTTCCTCCCTTTCTGTTTTTGTTTCGGAGACAGGCTCTCACTGTGTAGTTTAGGCTGGCCTTGAACTCATGGTGATCCTACTGCCTCTGCCTCCTGCGTGCTGGCATTACAGACATGCGGCATCACACCCAGCCAGCATTTTCCATTTTTCAAAGCCTTGAAACCACTCAGATGTTTGACAGGATAAGTGGTAGAGGCCTTTCAGAAACACTTCAGAGGGTCGAGAACAAGTTCCCAAGACTACTCCTCTATGAAACCATCACACACCACATCCTGTATGAAAGAGTGCAATGAAACCAGGCCAGTATTTTGCAGGAAGAGCCCACCAGGGGCTCGAGACCAGCGTCTCTGGGTGTGTAGTACAGGTCCAGACGAAGTCCTCAGTGCCTCCGCGGCTCCTCTCATCGGAGGCCGACTATACTGACTGGAGCCTTGTGCCCTCAGCTTCGCTAGGGGAAGGCAGCCTGCGAAACAACCCCTCTTTAAGAGATTTACAGCCATGAAATGTGTCAGGCTTTTCTGATGAACTCGGACACCAAGGTCAAAGCCACAGGCAGCTTTTACCTTGCAATAGATGATTCAGGTTTTTGTTTTTTTTGTATTTTAGGGCAGGGTCTACAGGGTGTTCAGGGGCTCACTACTAGATTGGACTCGTAGTGATCCGCCTGCTTCAGCCTCCCAAGAGCTGGGGTTACGGGCAGCACCACCTCGCCCCGTCTCAGTCACCTGTCTCTGGGGGCGGGGCCAGCACGGCAGGCCCGTACCTGCTTGCAGGTGCTTTAACCCACTGAGCCATTTGGCCAGCCCAGATGATTCGGTTTTGATGAAGACGCGACCACGTGTTACGCCAGGCCTACGTCCTTGGGAACAGTTAGGGAAAACAAGAATGTAGTTTTTTCTCAAGAACTATGTGAAAGCTGTCCATTATTCATTTACCTTTTCAAAGCCAGCCACAAGGCAGAAAGGAGTCTCACGGATGCCCACGAGAGCAGGCCACTCCAATAGGCAGTGCATGTTCCGAACAGAAAAAGAATCAAGGACACAAGGGGGAAACACATACTCTGACTGGTTAAAACGATGGCATCTAATTCTGGTAACAACAGTAAGTCCCACAATTCCTTAAACCAGTTATACCTGTGGGCAAAAGAAAGCAGAATGAAAGCAAACAAAACAAAGCAAAACAAAGCCCAACAAACTGACATTCAAGGACTTCCTATCAGAGGTCTCTGACCACTTTCTAGAGTCCTTACAGTCCCATGATACCTAATTTACAATTTTTACTGGAAAACAGTTCTTTTTTTCTTTTTGGCAGAACCTGGGATTGAACTCAGGCCCTTGTGCTTGCCAAGGAAGTGCTTATTCCACTGAGCCTCTCCCTGGCCCACTAAAACTCTTTCTCTTTTTTTTAGTACTGGGGATTGAACTCAGGACCTTACGCTTGCCAGGCAAGCATTTATGCTACTGAGCTATCTCCCTGACCCACTAAAACTCTTTCTCTCTTTTTTTTTTTTTTTTTTTTTTTCCCTAGTACTGGGGATTGAACTCAGGACCTTGAGCTTGCCAGGCAAGCATTTATTCTACTGAGCCATCTCCCTGGCCCCTGGAAAACAATTCTCAAGTGCGACAATTCACTATTTTCCAAATGAGCCTGTTGACCTTTAAATATTTCAATGCTAAGCTGCAACAGGGCCTCACTGTTCTGTTTGTCCATGGATGAAGTAATGAATTATTTTCAGTGTTAGAAAGCCAACAGCGGCCAGGCCTGGTGGCACACTCCTGCTATCCCAGTGCTCAGGAGGCTGAGGCAGGACGATTGTTGTGAGTTTGAGACCAGCCTGGGCTATGAAGTGAGCTCAAATCCAGCCTGAATTACATAGTGAGACCCTGTCTCAAAAAGACAAGAAAAAAAAAAAATCCAAGTTGTAATGAAAGAATAAGATACTTTAGTAATGGTTCTTAACAAAACCCACAAAACTGGAATAAATTAAGGATGGAATGTGGCCTGGGGCAGAGAAGTCTCAAGCACCCTTTCTGTGGGGAGGAGGAGAAAAGGACCAAGGCACTGTTTCATCTCACTCTGGAAGTCTGTGTCTGTCTGTCTGGGATACTCTCCAATCATTTGAGAACATGACAGTGCTGTTATATTCTAGGTTGTGATTGCTACAGATGTTCAATCACTATCTTGAAATGCTTATACTACTGAAATAAATGTTCATATATTTTATTGTCTTTTCCTAAAAGAAAAATTTCATTTAATGAAACAGTCAATTGTCAAATTTATTGGAATTAAAGTGTTTCATATATAAAGCAAAATCAAAATCATCATCAGATAATAAAACAAAACTTACCCCAATAAAAACTTAATCATAATTACAAAAGGATCAACTTTGTATGGCTTGGCTTCTTTATCCAATATGGCAGCATATTCTAAACAATAACCTGGTAATTAAAAAAAATTACATGCAACAGAGAATTCACAGTAATTAAGTATGAGCTGTATATTGCGTTGTCTACAAGAGCAACATATTTCATGTCAGAGAAAGCAAAAGGTCCTCACTACTCCCACAGACTCGTCCTCAAAGAGCAGAAATTACTGTGAATTCAATGATTTTCACCGAAGAGTGTACATTCAGCAACAAATTCACTAAGGTGCGGTTAGGGTTTCATTACATTCTGTAAGTCTCCACAGGTAACTTTAAAAAACAGCTTTATCTGAAATGTAATTTTCATGCCATACAATTCATCTGCTTGAAGCCTACAGTTCTACAGTCTGTCTTCTATAGAACATGTAAATTGGAAAATACTTAGGAAGCACTGATACAGTGAAAGAAGGAGGGGAAGAGAAGGGAGGGAAGGAGGGAAGATGAGCGAGAAACAAGGGAGGGCAGGGAAGGGAGAAAGGAAAGAAAGCAAGAAGTGAGAAGACAGAAAAGGAAACAAATGAGATGCCAGGAGGCAATCAGTAGGGAGCGGCCTACCAAGGCAGAGACATTTACAGCCCTGAAACAGTCCTTGCGGGCAGCACGGGCAGAGGGCGGCTTGTGGACAGAGAATCGAAATCCCATCAAGCCTACAGGTCTGTTCACTGATTTATGAACAACAGAAGATAACAGATGTCTGGGGAGGTGGGTGAGGAATTGGGAATGATCAAGACATGTCACATGCTCGTACTAACTCTCCCAAACAAACAGCACTGTTAGGCATCGCAAACACACACCAACTGGTACTACAAGAGACTCTGCGTCAGCACACCACGGCGGTGCAGTCAGCAAATGCAGCCTGCGCAGCACGGTCACACCGAACAGCTCTGCCCAGTGATTTATAAGGAAGCAAAAGAGATGCAGGATGGAAACTACAGCTGAAGAAACTCCACAAGCTTAAGGACAGCTGCCATGTGGACATCTTACTCGGAAACTTCAAAAAATTTTAATCATTTGATAGAATTAGGGGGTTATTAATTTTTCAATGTGTATTATGTTTATTATGCTTGTCCTTTTAAAACATAAATACTGAAGGTAATTATTGTATAAAAATTGTTATTTGAGGGTTGGGGAGATAGTTCAGTAGAATAAGTGCTTGCCTGGCAAGTGCAGGGTCCTGAGTTCAATCCCCGGTACCAAAAAAAAAAAAAAAAATGTTATTTGATTCCTTAATGTATTTTTTAAAAAATTAACAATTTATTTAGACTAAAAATACAGTTTCTTTTCTATTCAAAAAAATGACACCCAATCCAAATGAGTTCATTTTTTTTGTTACCAGGAATCAAACTCAAGACCTCCTGCTTGCCGGACAGGCGCTGTGCTGCTCAACTACTTGCCTGGTCCCAGGTGAGTTCAAAGCTAGGAGAATGCTGGTAATTTGTAGGTCTCAGGCCCACAAGCTGGAGGCTCTTGACTAACTGCTCAAGACTGGTTTGGGATGGGTGGTCGACAGTGGAAGAGTAAAAAATGTCTGTCTGCAAGTCTGGTCCTAAACTCACATGTTAAAAAAAAAAAAAAAAAAAGGACAGAAAAAAAGGAGCTGGCTGTGGTGGCTCATTCCTGTCATCCCAGCACCAGGGAGGCTAAGGCAGGGGCACTGTTATGAGTGCAAGACCAGCCTGGGTCATAAACTGAGCTCAAGTCCAGCCTGAACTGCACAGTGAGACACTGTCTCAAAAAAATAAAAAATAAAAAAAAAATAAAATCACCTGCTATGTGGATGCTGTACTTCAGGAGTGGGGGTGGTACTTGGAACTGAACTCAGGCACTCCCCTCTCCAGGCAGGCACCGTGCCACTGAGCTACATCTACATCCGGTCCCTCACATGCTATTCTAGAGTTGCCAAGAGCTGCTACTATGTGGTTATTTCTAAAAACTTTCTTATGAGTCTTAGTAACTGAAATAAATGTACACAAGGAATCAACAGTTGTCTTATTTTAATATTTGTAACAAAAATAACTAAAAAGAAGCATCCTCACCTGTTGAGAAAAGAGAGTACAGCTGTCCTCCGTGGGCAAGAAGGGCACTGGCTATAACGTATGCAGGAAGCGCGCCTCCGTGAAACCTGATGACCTGCGAAGTAGGCAGATCAAAGGAAAGCGCCTCAGCGTTCATGCTCACACAGAGGTACTTTCGCGCACAGGAAGCTTCACCTTCCTTTACACGCTTCCATGACATGGCTACACACTGCCTGCCACCAATGAGTAACGCGAGCTCTAAGTAAAATGAATACTTTTATAGCCTGATGCAAACACACCTAAAGTTTTCATCAAAGGCGTAACTGAAGAGCGTATGCTAGGAAACCGCTCAGCACGTATGTCCCTTGCCTGCTTCTCCTGTTGCAGGCAGGGCGCTGTGCATCACACAAGCCTTATCTCACGCTTTCCTCCACATGCCCCTAAGGCAGTTCTCATCTGCATGCGCCGGCCAGGGAGCCAGGTGTGGAAGCCCAAGCACCCTGAGCGGCCTCAAGTATACAGGTGGGTTACCTCCCCATGACCTCTTCCGCAAGAAGGGGAGAATGCTATTTTCAGGTGGCTAGGAAGGCTAAACAAGCTTATGGGAAAGCATCTAAGATGCTAACTCTTCCACAATAAGCTACCGGAAATGTCCAGAGCAGCTGGTAACCTCTACGCCCTCCACCCTCCTGGAAATGCCATCTGACAGAGCCCAAGCCCAGCATCAGTTACAAGGAGCCATTCTATCAGCTGGTGCAACTGCATACGTGTGCACAAGAAAAGCAAAGTGCAAGTGTGACAAGTGTTCACTGGAAGGCATGCTGTGCATTCCACAGAACTTCTTGGAACACGTAGAGACTCAGTCATCAGCTAACCCCAAACATTGCACAGGATTGTAGGAAGTCCTTCCACAGACCCCCACATTGAAAAGGATTAGGAAAAACCTTAGAGTCTACACTCCTACTTAGAGATTATAAGCTCTAGGTAGGGAGAGAAAGCTGAGCACAAGAAAAAGGCCGGTTTCTATTACGGACTGGCCAGCACTCACTGCATGTGTGGGACCCACTTGGAAACCCGCAGCCCCTCCCTTTAGCAAGCAGAGCAGGAGGACTGGTAAGCAGCCTGCGGGCTCTGGGGCCCACGCTGTCGCCGCCAGCTGTGGGTCCTGGCTCATACCACCCCTCCAGGGTCCTCGGCAGTGAACCTGAGGAAAGCAGCATTACAGGGAGTGAGGCTTCCTCCTCATCCATGTACCAGCAGGCATAGGGTGGCATGGCCGAGGGCGCAGCTGTGATATCCACCACCAACACCCTGCACTGTCCTCAGACTCCTAAGAGGCCATGTGGAGCATCCTGAGAACAGGATTTCTTTCTCCGGCAGAGCGCACTGCTGTATCAGGGCTGCACTGGGGCATGGAAGCCGCCGGGTCTACCAGGCACCATGAAATCGGCAGCAGCAAGCTGGCCTCCCTCACGCCAGCTGTCACCATGCCTCCATGACACAGCCCTGCTTACACTGACTTAGGGCTCAATGCTGGAAATATAAAATGTCACCTAAAAACTCAGTTTGGCCTCTTAAAATGCAAAGATCAAGCAACATCAGGCTCCTTTCCTCCACAGAAGTGACTCACAACTTATAGAGTTTTAGGAGAAAGCACCTTTCAGGTTACTTTACATCTTTCATTATTAATTTTATGAAAAAAATCCATCTACAGGTGCAAAGCTCCCGGTGGTTTCCTTTTTATTCCTCTTTCTCAGTTTCCTGTGACCATGTCAGCAACGCTCAAGGTCTTTTATTTTTTTCAAAAACTGAGTAAGAGAGATTATGCTATTTAAACTCATTCTCATACCATCCATAAACCAAGCAAGGAAGAGTGTATCTTTCAATAATTTTAGGACTTTATTACAGTTTTTTAACCTTTTTAAAGTAACCACTGCTCCCCCTGTGTCAGGGTGTCCAGTTGTCCCCGCAAAGCCTCCTGCACTCATGGGGCAGACTTGTAGAGGTTACGAGTAATTAGTGATCCAACACGGGGATGATGTGTGTTCAGCGCTACACCCACCCAGGGGCTGAGAGCCTGGCGGCAGTGCAAGGCGGGAGACAGAAAGGCTTGCCTCTGCCACTGCCGCTAAGCTGTTCACAGCCGCCCTCTGCCATGCGCCACTCTGCTTGGAGCCAGCCAGTAGGACTCAGACCTCCACAAACTGTGAGCTAAAGAAACCTTTCCTTCCTTCATTTTGGGTGTCAGGCATTTTGTTCCAGCACTGAGAGAAAAGTCCCTGAGACACCCTGTCGGATCAGCACCTCTTTACTCTTTAGAAAGATTTCCACACCTAAACATTAGTCTGCTGGGAGTGTTAGCACAAGTCTATAATCCCAGCACGTGGGAGGCTGAAGCAGGAGGATCCCTGCAAGTTTAAGGCCAACCTCAGCTACATAG